CAAGCAAAACACTCATACACATAAAATAAAAATAAACAAATAGGGGCTGGAGAGATGGCTCAGCGGTTAAGAGCACTGACTGCTCTTGCATAGGACCCGGGTTCAGTTCCCAGCACCCACATGGCAGCTATGAACCATCCTTAACTCCAGTTCCAAGGGAATCCAAAGCCCTCTTCTGACCTCTATGGCATTGCACGACACGGGTGCACTCACATACATGCAGGCAATACACTCATATACATAAAATAAAAAATAGTAAATAAAATATTTTAAAAAATAAACAAGCCAGATGTGGTGTCACACGCCTGTAGTCCCAGCACTTGGGGGCAGAGGCAGGTGGATCTCCGTGAGTTCAAGGCCAGTCTGGTCTACATGGTAAGTTCCAGGACAGCTGGGGCTACAGGGTGACTCTGCTTCTCTAAAAGACCCCCCAAAATTAAATAAACAAATAAATAAATGCAACTTTAAAAAGTCTTAAGGCCAAATAGCATGCTAGTGCATTTACATGCAGAGGAAAGTGGCTCATGGAGAAACTGAATAGTAAGTGATCAGTGGTTCCGTATCTTCAGCCCTTATCTTCTGGTTTTCCCAAAAAGAATTAGAACTCATTGTTGCAGGATGGAAAACTCAATTTTGACTGAAAACAAAAAAGGAAATTCATTAGTTTATCTAACCAAAAAGCTCAGCAGGCAGATCTAGTTCTGAGCATGGTTAGATGCAAGGTTTTAAATGAAGTCATCAAGGCCTGGTCTCACCCCAACACCCAACTCTGCTTCTCTTCTTATAGCCAACACCACCCTGGAATTCAAACCCATCTAGATGGGCTGAAAAAAGGAGACAAAAGCTGGAGGGGCCTGAAGTAGATCTCTCCCACACTTCTCTGCACCTATAAGTAATTCCTTACCAACTTCCTGTTGGGGTTGGAGAGATGGCTCATCAGCTAAAAACATTGGCTAATCTTGCAGAGGACCCAGAACCAGTTCCCAGCAACCTGTTACATGGAGGCTAACAACTATCCATAACTCCAGTTCTAAGGGATCCAACGACCTCCATGAGCATTACACCCACAGGTGCACTTACATCCATATAGGCAAAACACTCATACACATAAAATAATAAATAACAAATTTAAAAAGAACTTCCTGTTGTTGAACTTTTGTCCCAAAGACCTGCTTCTGGGCTTAAGTTTATCCCTATCATCGAAGATGAGATCTCAGGAAGAGGAAAAGCTGTGCCCCAGAGGGTCCTAGTGACTTCTTTAAGAGCCTGGCCCCTGGGGGATTTGCCTGGCTGGAATGATGTACGCTAAAGCAAAGGAGTCCACTAAGGAAAGTACCTGAAGCTACAGATATGCCTTTGGTCAGGTGAGATGAGTTGACTAGCTAGAGAGATATGGCTATGTTCCTTGCTTTAGGAACCAGTTAGGAAGTTGCCCCAATTTGGGTGTTAAGTGCTGGGGGCTTGGCCAGAACACAAACTTTGGTGATAGACAAAGTAAGAAGATAAGAAAGAAGGTGTGGGTGTGATTCAGTGGTAGATCACGTGTCTAGCAAGAATGAGGCCCTGGGTTTGAGTTCCAGCACTGACTGAGACAGGAGAGAAACAGAACCCAGGCCTCGGGGGCTGGAAGAAAAACAGAGTTTAAATTATATTCCACTGCAGCTAGATATTAAAAAAAAAAACAAAAACAAAAAAAAACAAAAAAAGTCGTTTTACAGAAAATCAATTTAAAAGCGGCGTGTTTAGGGATAGTCTCCCTCATCCAGCTCCAAGCCCAATAATCAGCGTCCTGTAGAACTCTGGGGCAACTTCAAACTGTAGGACTACAATTACCAGGATGCCAAGCGGCATCACGTCAGCACAGAGATGGTGGCGACTCCTTGTCTCGCCAGGCGGGGGCGCTGGCACTTAGTTCTGATCGCAGAGAGTCCAGGCTAGCAGAGTAAGTCTGGGGTGCTAGGGCTGCCGCCTCCAGGCCCTCCGTCCTAATTCCCGATCCCCTCCTCCTCTCAGGTCCCTGTGCGGACACTGAGCCAGCTTCAGAAACACAGCAGCCTCAGAACCCCACATCCCGCTGCCGTGGTTCCTTATATCCGGCGTCAGTCCCCAAACCACCCTATCTCCCACACAACTGCCTGCTCTTGATTGACCTAGGTGTCTCCTAGGGAGATCCAAGTTGGCATCCTCAGAGACATAGAGACCAGACATAGAGACCAGAGACACCCCACTACCACCCTTCTCATGGGACCACCTGTCTGCCAAGCCCAGGGGATCTCTCTCTCTCTCTCTCTCTCTCTCTCTCTCTCTCTCTCTCGTCTTTGGGACTCTAGATGAGAAGGGGAGAAGCTTGGAAGTGAAAACCTCAGCTTCCCCTTTCTTCTGTCATCAGACCTCAAGGTCTGACAAGTTGGACAGAGACCCTAGGCAGAAATGGGCCTAGAGCTCAAGCTGAATGTGAATTTTCCCCCCTGTTCTGCCTTAGAAAAAGAGTTAAAAGGGGGCTCACCAGGTTGGGCTTTTTGCCAGAGTAGGATGGATCACAGGTGGGCTTCAGGAAAGTTGGAAGGGAGCAACCAATGGAGTGCAAGTGGTCAGACAGAGAAAGTATGTGTTATTGCCAGAGGGTTAGGTGGTAAGTTAACTAGTTTGGAACTAGGCTAAACTTCTGTGATGATGTACAAACCAGGAACATGGATGATGTGATAGATGAAACTTTAAAACTTCCCAAACATTTCTAATCCATTGCCTCCTCTCCATCCCTACTGTAACATTTTATGACATCTTTCTAACCACCCTGCCTGCTCCATCCTGCCGGCCTCTAGTCCACACAGCAGCCAATGGAGCCTAGAGCCCACGTCTGACTGTGTTCATCCCTTGCTTACACAGCTTTCCACCTGGCCTTGAGCAGAAAGTCCAAACTCCTTGGCATGACTTGGCTTATCTACACTCCACCAAACCCATCTTGTTTGGCACTTCCCATTTTCCTACCCCCTTCAACCATATCTAAGGCATTCATCAGCCCCCTCCCCCCGTAAAATTCTCTCCTTTATCTTGTGGGTCCCCCTGCTGGACTGTTTTCTACCTTAACATTCTCCTTGTAGACTCCCATTGTGAGTCCTGTCTCTGCTTAAAGTCACTTCACCTATAAAGTCCTCCACAGATCCCTGTGTTTCCTTGGTTCTAATAACTCCTAGCATTATTGAGCACTCACTAAGTGCTTTATGTTTGGTAATTCATTTAAACCACACAGCAACCTTTTTAAAAAAAAATAGACAAAATTGGAGCTGGAGAGATGGCTCAGTGGTTAAGAACACTGGTTGTTCTTGCAGAAGACCAGGGTTCAAATCCCAGCATCCATATGGTGGCTAACAACTGTCCGTAACTCCAGTTCCAGGGGATCCAACAGCCTCTTCTGTCCTCCGCAGGCATTGCACGACACAGGTGCACTTACCTACATGCAGGCAATACACACATACACATAAAATGAAAATAATAAATATTTTTTAAATGGACAAAATCGATGCTGAAGAGATGGCTCAGCAGTTAAGAGCACTGACACATGTTCGCTCCCCCATGAACATATCTATATACATACACACATAAACAACAATAATAATAATTTTAAAATAGACAACAACATCTTCCCCATCTTACAGATTCAGAGACGGAGGCCCACAGGGCTGGAGAAATGGCTTAGCAGTTAAGAGCACCTCTGATTTTGCAGAGGATCCGGATTCAGTTCCCAGTACCCACATGGCCACTCACAACTTTCTGTAACTCCAGTTCCAAGGGATCCAAGGCCCTCTTCTAGCCTCCGTGGGCATTACATGACATAGCTGCATATACATATATGCACACAAAACACACACATTAAAATTTTAAAAATATTTTATTTATTATTTTTATTTTATGTGTATGTGTATCGCCTGCATGTATGTGAGTGCACCCGTGTCATGCAATGCCTCAGAGGTCAGAAGAGAGCTTCAGATTCCCATGGAACTGGAGTTAAGGATGGTTCATAGCTGCCATGTGGGTGCTGGGAATCGAACCCCAGTCCTCTACCAGAGTGGTCAGTGCCCTTAACCGCTGAGCCATCTCTCCAGCCCCCTAAATTTTTTTTAACTTAAAAAAAAAAAAGAAACTGAAGCCCAGTTGCTAAAGGACATCCAACCTCCCTGTTTTACACACTCTATAGTGGAGGAGGTGCACCTTAAGAATAAAATAGGTGACAGGTCGACAGGGCAGATTGGATAGGGGTTTTTGGGGGGGGTTGGCTTTTTGAGACAGGGTCTCCCTGTAGCCCCATGTGGCCTGGAACTCACTATGGAGACCAGGGTGTCCTTGAACTCACAGAGAGCCATCTGCCTCCGCCTCCAGAGCGCTGGGATTAAAGGTGTGTGCCACCATGCCCGGCTGGATAGGATTTTTAAATGTAAATAGAGACAAGCAAAGCTGTTGTCAGGACTGCAGGTGACAACTGGAGAATGAAGTGGACAGTTGCCATAGTGATGGAAAGAAGGCAAGGCCTGTAGAGGTATATGGTTTACAGGGTGACTGATGCCAAAATAGGGATATAGGTAGATTCATGGGGGATAGGGGAGAACTGATGGAAAAGCTAGGCCAGCAGGAAAAAGGACACAGTTTCAGAGGTCATGGGGAGAATAGTTCAGGGCTGGTGACGTGCAGACCCCAGTGGTCATGAGATGGTTCTTAGTGTAAGTCCCGTGAATCTTCTAGAAACAGGAACAGCACCTGAGTAACTGGGCTCCAGTCCTCCATCCCAGCACCCACTTCTTCAATCCTTCCCCAGGTAGGCACCCCGGAAGTGTTCTGCACAATGTCAAAGTTCATGCCCCACCCTTTGGGGTTCTGTTGCAGGCCTGCTGCCTCTAGGTACAAACTTAAACAGTTTTTGAGAAGTTTTATTCAAAAACTGGGGGACATCACAAACACAGAGACATGGAGATGGTTTTCTCCATCCAGAGTTCACAGGTCAGAAGCCAAGACTAGGTCCCAAGACCCTTCCAGCTATGGGCTCCCATGCATGACATACACCCACATCCTCTCTGGTTCTTACTTCCTCCTCCCCCAACTCCTCCTCCCTGCCCACTTCCTGCACCTGAGGAGACACTGAGATGTCTGGGTAAGCTGAGAGGAAGGGGAGAGGGGGGAACCCTTAAACTCCGGAAGGAGGAGGAGAAAGAGGAGGAGTGGTGGTGAACCTGGGATTTGGGAGGCTTACAGGAGAACAAAGAGAAGTGAGGAGGGGGCCACTGCCTTTGCTGCCTCCATCCTCAGAAGTCAGGGGCCTTAGTACCCTAAGATGTCTCCTTTGCAACTTACAAAGTTCAGGGTAGGTCACCACCTGTCACTAGGCAATGGCTCAATGTACTAGGGGGTGGTTGAGACCCAGGTATGCCTTAGCCAGGGCAGCAGGAGCCCCTTAACCCAGCAGAAGAGCCATGGGTACCCACGGTGCCAGGCCCTCCTCAGCTAGGTGCAGGCTGGCTGTTGGCATAGGCCTGATCTGGGAAGGAAGCCCGGGCTCTCCGTGTCTGAGCACACACGGAGGCATAGAGCTCCGGTTCAGGGCCTGAAGTCTGGGGCTTGGGCTCCAAGTCCAGCACCACCTCCGAGTACTTGATGGGCATCCCAGAGCTGGGGATCCGACCTTGAGAAGGTCGCAGTTGCAGGCTGGTATAGCACATCACCTCCTCTACAGCCTGGAAATGCAGGGCTGTTAGTTCACTGGACCCTCAGGAAAGGCCCCCATTTTCTTCCCTCCCCTGTTCTTTAGCCAACTGACTCACCCTGTCAGGCAATCCAGAAGATGGATCCTGCGAATCTAGCCTTGTCTCTTGAGACAGCTGTCCTGGGATGAGGAACAGGAATCTGGTCAGCTCGTATATGCTCCTGAATGCCTGTCTCCATCCCACCCCAGGAGCTGGCCCCTGTGCTGTGTCCGCATACCTACCTGTCTGTAAATAGTGGAGGTTCCCATACAAGGGGACTTCTTCCACAGACTGTCCAGAACTGCAACACAGTTTGGGAGATGAGTTTTTGGTTAAGAGGGAATGTCCCGTCAACCCATCCCTTTTGTCCTTCACTCACAGTCCCTGAGCCTGCTGGTTCCTGTTCCGGCCACTGATCCACTGGGACAAGAGTGTGGCCAGTGAGATGAGAAGCAGCAGAGTGACAACCCCTAAGAGGACCCACAGTCCCCACGCGTGCGGTACCGACGGGATTCCTGTGGATGTGAGAGGAGGGGGCTGTTACTGCCCTACCCCAACCCCCTCCCCAACCAGTATCAGATAGGACATGACACCACATGACCCCTCCCCCAGGAGCCCCTGCCCCGCCCAGCTCACCCGGAGCCAGTAGATGATCTGTGCAGTTGGCACCTCTGTTCATGACTGTTGGTGTGAGATTCCTGTCCATAAGCATACTGCCCTGAGCTGAGAGCCAGCCCAACTCATGGACTGACAGCTGTCACAGCTCCCATGACTCCCGTGCCTCCTTGAACCTGGCCCTCACAGCTCAGCGTCTCCAATACAGATGGTGGCAAAATTGTTGGTTTCCGGAGAGGAAGGGGGAGGGGAGGGATGAACCAAAGAACAAAGACCACGCCCCGTGTCTGCACCTGTGCCACCCTGCAGCTCTGAGCTCTCCCAAGTCCCCCATGGCCCTGTACCTCCCTTCACCAGAGAGGAGAGGAGGAGACGTAGTGTTCTAGGAGACGTAGGCCTGAGTGTTCTGTGACATGTGTGGGTAAGCCCACATAGACTCTGAAGAGCAGAGGTGTTATGGTACAGGACAGGAGCACCCCTTTGCCACACGATGTCCCCTTTTCTCTCTGGTTCTCAGTGCTGTGGAGGAGATGTATTCTTCAATGAGCATGCTCTAAAGAGGAATGACTTCTGTACCCACAGTCTCACTATGGCCTAAGGTTGATGAGAGAAAATACATTCATTTGTTTATGTAGCCAAGCTAGCCTCAAACTCAGTGCACATCCTGAACGGTCGTCAACATCTGAGCTTCCTTGCCCCACATCCCCAGAGCTGGGATTATGGGCATGTTCCATCCAGTTGAGAAAATAACATGTATGTGATTATTGTTATTTATATTACAAGTATATAACTAGGAGTGGGGAGATACAGGAGGCTAGGCTCCCACTTTACAACCCATTTCATCGGGGGCTGGAGAAATGGCTCAGCGGTCAAGAGTACTGACTGCTCTTGCAGAGAACCCAGGTTCGATTCCCAGCACCCCCATGGCAGCTAACAACTGTCCATAACTCTCGTTCCAGGGGATCTGAAGTCGTCTTCTGGGCATTGCACAACATGAGTGTACTTACACACATGCAGGCAATACATGCACACATACAAAATTTAAAAATAATAATAAAAATAAAAAACCAACCTATTTCATCCCAACTGTGTGTAAGAACCTGGAGACTGGGCATGGTCGTGCACACCTTTAATACCAGCACTTGGAAGGTTGAGGCAGGCAGATCTCTGTGAGTTCAAGGCCAGTTTGGTCTACATGGTGAGTTTCAGGCCAGCCAGGGTGAGACCCAGTCTTTTAAAAAAAGAAAAATCTGTCAGTCAGTTAAGTGCATTAAAGAAATATCTGTTCCAGGATCACTCAGGCAAATTGAGCCTGTCTTTGCATGGGTTTGCTTGCTGGACTGGAACTGGAATGCTTGCCCAGCTTAAAGACAGCCCATCTCTATGGGAAGCTAGTGAATATAAATTTAAATTTGTTTCAGTGGCCTGCCAAGGATAGAGAGGAAAGAAGTCCTGCACTGTCTGTAGAAATGTTAAAATTTTTTTTAAATTGCAAGGTATGGTCCCACACGCCTTTAATCCCAGCACTTAGGAGAGACAGAGGCAGGCAGGATCTCTTTGAGTTCAAGGCCAGCCTGGTCTACATAGCAAGTCCCAAGTCAGCTGGGGCTACAGGAAGACCCTGTCTCAAAAAGACAAAAATAAATAAATAAATAAATGAATAAAATGAAACTCACTGTTCTTTTTATTATCGATGTTTCATGTCAGTGACAAAATACTGTTCTCTGAAAAAAATCTTTTATAGGGGCAAGGGAAATGGCTCAGTCTGTGAGGTACTTGTGGTACAAACATAAGGGCCTAAGTTTGATTTTATTGTTGTGGTGGTGGTTTTGGTTTTCCGAGACAGGTCTCCCCCTAGCCCCAGCTGACCACTCCCTGTGTAGACCACATTGGCCTCAATCTCTCAGAAATTCACCTGCCTCCTGAGTGCTGGGATTAAAGGCATGTGCAACCATGTGCTGCTTAGGACTAAAGTTTGGCTCTCCAGCACCCACATAAAAGCCAGGCTTATCAGCATACAACTGTAGCCTAGCTCTATGGGGTAGAGGGAAGACAGATGGGTCACTAGCACTCACTGACCAGCCAGTCTAGTTGAATCGGTAAGTTTCAGGTTTAGTGAGAGACCCTGTCTCAAAGAACAAGCTGGAGAATGACTGAGGAAGACGAGAAAGAAGTCAATATCTAGGCTCCATATGAACATGTGCACATACACAAACATGCAGATACACAATACACTGTGTACACACACACACACATTTCTTTTTAAATATTTAATAGATCTTAGTTTGAAATTGTTGCAGTCACTGATAATAATATAAGAATATGTAATAATGATAATATGTAAGCTTCAAATGAACATTTTTGGGGAGGAGGGACAAGATCTTTTTTTAATATTTTATTTTGATTCTTTTTATTTTATGTGTGCAAGTGTATTGCCTGTATGTATGTGAGTGCACCCGTGTTGTGCAATGCCACGGAGGTCAGAAGAGGGCTTCAGATTCCCCTGGAACTGGAGTTAAGGATGGTTTGTAGCTGCCATATGGGTGCTGGGAATCAAACCTGGGTCCTTTGCAAGAGCAGTCAGTGCTCTTAACCACTGAGCCATCTCTCCAGCCCCAAAGGACAAGATCTTATGTAGCCCAAGCTGGCCTAAAACTCACTGTGTATTAGAGACTAGCTGTGAACTCTTGCCTCTACCTCCTGAGTGCTGTGATCACAGACTTGCTAAAACACACCCAGCTCTTGCTTATCTTTTTAAAAAGATAAAACAGGTGTGGTGGCACATGCCTATAATTTCTAGGTTGTTGACTTAGAGGCTAGCCTGGGCTACATAATGGAGCCTATATACAAATATATTAAATAAAACACTGAAACTACATAGAATTTGATTTAGAGAACATCCAGTTAAGCAAAAGGCCCTTGACAAAGCAGATCCAGCTCTATGTATTTATAGCTACACTTTTTTATTGGGGAGGGGGTGAAGACAGGGTCTCACTATGTAGCCCTATAGGCTGGAGCTCACTGTATAAACCAGGCTGGACTTGAACTCACAGAAATCATCCTGCCTCTGCCTCCTGCATGCTGGGATTAAAGGTGCTGGAAAACCACACCCAGCGTGTGTTTATATCTGAACTATATTAGCAACTTAACCTAAGTTACTCCATCTTGCTCAGAATAGCTATTTTTACAGTAACCTCTTTTCACTTATGGGAAATATTTAAAAAGAGACAACAGCCTTGAGTTCTAAGAAATAGCTCAATCACAAACCAATGGAACATGCTAATCTCAGACATTCTACATCTGTCTAACAGCTTGTTTTTGCTTCTGTAACTTGCTTGCTATTTTAGGTCACCTTGACACAAGTATAAGCCCACCCTGTTATTGTATGACCACCTGGTAACTGCTGATTTCAGCTTTCTTACTATGCTTGTTATGGTTAGGAAGTTGACTAATTTTAAAATTACAAAGTTGATTGCCAAGTTATATGATTGTATCACTTGTCTGTATAATGATCGGTTGTTGATTAATAGATTCAAAGTTCTGCTATGTCGTACAAGCCTGATTGGTTCACAAGTGCCCTGTTTGAATAATATTTCCGTAATCCTATAAAAACTCTGGCAGACAGTGATCAGGGCTGCTTCTACTCCTGAGATAGACAGCCTGGACGGTCGAAAAGTGAAATTTACCTTGCTACTTTTCTTAAAGTGGTGCTGGTGATTTTTTTTTTTTTTCGCAAACTCCAACCTATAACAATACCTAGAATTAGTCTTAAGAGTTTGGAATTGTTCATATTTCTTTTAGACACAGTGTCTTCAGCTCTACAGATAGCCAAATATTTTTCTGTTTAACCCATAGATTTAAAATAACCACCCTGGGCAGGGTGTCAAAAGCCTGTAATACTAGTAGGTAGGAGATATAAGCAAGAGGATCAGGAACTCAAGGCCAAACCATACTGTAAGAGACAACCAAAGAACCAAACAAGCAAAATAAATAAAGTGTACAAAATAAATAACCAATGATCTGGGCAAGGTGATACATAGCTATTATCCAGGCTCCTTGAAGGCTGAGGTAAAGAAAGCCTGGCAACTTGGCAAGGATTCCTGTGTCAAAAAGAAACAAATGAAATAAATAATGAGGAATTAACAGTATAGCTCATTGACAGAACTTGTGCTAAGCATGCTTAAGGCCCTAAGCTCAATCCCAACCGCAAGTAAAACCAAAATAATGGGGAGAAAAGCCTGGGTGCGACATAGAGGTAGAGGCACTAGGTACTGACTTCAATCCCAGAGTCAATAAATAAAGAAAACTAAAAATGATGGGCGCAGTCTGGCATGTTGGCATACGTCTTTAATCCCAGCACTCAGGAGGCAGAGGCAGGCAAATCTCTGTGAGTTCAAGGTCAGTCTGTCTACTTAACGAGCTCCAGGCCAGCTGGGGCTATAGGGAGACCCTGTTTCAAAAAGACCAAAAAAAAAAAGGTAGGAGCTGGTGAAATGGCTCAGAAGATAAAGGTGCTTTCTGCCAGGCTTCATGACCTGAATGTGATCCTGGAGATCCACATGGTAGAAAGAGAATCCATGGCACATGTGCACCCACAAGTGTGTACACACATAACACACAACACAATGTATAAATAAAAATAAAAGTTAACCTAAAAATAAAAAATTATAGTATAGTGATGATAAAGTTGAAAAATTAAACTTGAGTTACTTTAATTACAAATTCCATCATTCTAGGTAATCAATTAATTTTTTGTTTTCAGTCTTTCTTGAGACAATGTCTCCCTGTAGCCCAGCTGGCCTGGAACTCACTACATAGAGCAAGCTGGCCTCGATCTTACAGAGATCCATCTGCCTCTGCCTCTGGAGTGCTGGGATTAAAGGTTTGTACTACCACACCATAAATTTTTATTTATGCTTAAATTTTCTGAAATTTGTTGTGGAATAGAGTGTGAATCTTTGTCACATGTTTGTTTGTTTGTTTGTTTGACCAGGCTGGCCTCAAACTCAGAGATCCACCACCTGCCTTTGTCTCCCAAGTGCTGAGACTGAAGCTGTATGCTGTCACATCCAGTTTTTCCTTATGTTTAAGACATTTTCCTTCTTTTGTTTATTTACTTTTTTTTTTTTTTTTTTTTTTTTTTTTTTTTTTTTGGTCTTTTTG